TATATCAGAGACGTTGTTTGGTTTTAGTGCAAGAAAGAAAGAAAGAAAGAAAGAAAGAAAGAAAGAAAGAAAGAACGAACGAACGAACGAACGAACGAACGAACGAAAAAGAAAAAAAGAAAGAAGGAAGGAACGGAGACATAGAAAAGGCATTAATGCTCCCATGCATTCAACGTCTGCTTTAGTGAAATGGAAAACCTTGTCAGTTTTTAATGTTTTCATTTGTACTCACTTTTTTTTTTTAAGTAGATAAATTTTTCCCCAATATCTTCTTTACCTCAAATAAATAATGGACTATTTCGTTTTGATTGCGCAGAAAGACGGAAGAAAAATATATATCAGAGATGCTGTTTGGTATAAGTGCGAGAAAGAAAGAAAGACGGAAGAAAGAAAGAAAGAAAGAAAGAAAGAAAAAGAAAGAAAGAAAGGCAGGAAGGAAGGAAGGAAGGAAGGAAAGAAGGAAGAAAGAATAAATAAATAAATAAAGAAAGAACGGAACATAGAAGAGGCATTAACGCTCTTATGCCCTTAACGTCTGCTTCAGTGAAATGGAAAACCTTATCAGTTTTAATCTTTTTTCATTTGTACCCACTTTTTAAAAGTAAAGAGATTGCAGAACAGGGATTGGGATCCCTAGTAAAAAGACAAACACAGCTAAGTGCTACAAATCATAGGAAGTTGTTGAAAGCCATAATCACTCACGTCCTGAAGGAAGACGTCATATATAAGAAAAAGAGGTTTTGTATATAGTTTAAATACCTACTGGATGAAAACAAGAAAATGATACCTTAGTTTTAATTGTTTAATCAGACAAGCTTTTATGTGAAATATCATAAAAATGGTCACTTAAAAACGTATTTACTAAAAAAAAGACTAGGATACACCACATTGATACATGACTTAACAATCCTTGTTTTTTTTAAAATATTTGTCAACTTATTTATTAATTTAGGAGCAGTTGTCATGCCAGCTATAAACTGTTTCACGAATGTGAGTTTGTGCAAACATGAATTTGTATTAAAAATCAATATTTATCTCTTAAAATTAACAAATAAAAAACAAACGAAAACAGAAAAGAATATTTTTATATGCGAAGGTCAGTCAAAAATTAATATAACAAATATTTTTTATTGATTTCAAAGCTATATTACCGTTGTGGAATTTTCGGATTCAGAAAACGTCACTTAAATCTTCTATTGATAGAATTTTACTGATGTCACGATTTTATCGGCCTCGCAACAAGCAGTCACCTTGCCCCATTCAATATTTTTGTCGGCATACCTACGTGATTCATCCCGACGGCCTGAGAGTTAATCAACATTGATCCCTTATGAAAATGCCCAGGTTCAGGATGAAATCACCACGAGCCAATTAATGCCATCAGTCCACATTATGGCTATCGACCTAAATTCCTGGCTTAGCGAGAAGCGCGAACATTCCAGATTCAAACCCGACCTAATAACAGTGGTTCCAGGGTCAACGAATTCACAGCCACATCCAGCTACTAAACCTTGAGGCCCAAGAAACCTTGCATACAATAGAGATAAGCGAAGGCCCCTTTCGAAGTGAAGTATTGTTTTTTTTACTATCCCATTTTATATCTTTGGAACATTTTGGGTATTTACCCTTTTTATGAAATTAACAATATCAAATACTAATGCATTTGTTTACATGTGTTGAGGAACTTACCTGTTTTTGTACATCCACGTGATAATATTGTTTTCTTTGAAAGTGTGTTTCTACCCCTCACGGTTAATTTGAGTTATGTTGTGTTGTAATGGAAAGGAAATGTTTTGATGTTATGCAATGTGCATGAAGGCAATTTCCTTTTCTTTACTTCATCCTTTTTATCATTGGCTTAAAATTTAATATTTTTGGCACACAATGCGTTAACATTGTGTATGTCCGTGTCTTCTGCGTCGCGCGTGCCGCGATTAATGTTACTCCTTTTCCCCCAATAGTAAAGCCTGTTCTAATTTAATTTAGATTAGCAGTAGAGCCCGGCATTGCCTGGAGATGTATCAGTAAGAGATAGATCAAGTATCGACCATCATAAAGACTGAAAAATAAAATTGACAAAGATTATTGTTTAATGTTGACGGACACGCATGTCTTAATTGTGTGTTTTTCTTTGTTTTTTTTGTTTTTTTTACGAATTGATCAAACCCAAACTCAAACAAAAACATTGTTTTCAATCGTTATGAGTCTACCGATTGAATAGAATTTTATTATAAACAATTGTCTTGTAAATGGAATTTTTAAAGCATTCTGAGTGTAAAAATAAAGAAAAAAGTTTGCAAGACAATAAGAAACACTACCTGCCAAAAAAAAGTGAAGTTTTGTTGAAATCGGTTGAAAAATGTAGGAAATCCGATCCCATATATAAACGAACACAGACACACACACACAAACAAACAACAAATTATAATAAGTATAACTCGATATGTGTGTGTGTGTGTGTGTGTGTGTGTGCGCGCGCGCGTGCGTGCGTGCGTGCGTGCGTGCGTGCGTGCGTGTGTGTGGGCGACAGGAAGGCAAGAAATCGGAAGGGAGTTTTACAGGTTAGAAGTGCGAGAAAAGAAACTATTAGAATAAAACTTATCGCTACACCTGGCTATTTCAACAGTCAAACAATGAAACCTCGTAGCCAATCTAGTAGTACGCTAAAATTCACGCGGTCGAGGTACTAAGAAGGAGAACGCATTAGAACAACCGCCACAATTATTTATAGAAAAGACAGAGGGAAGCCATGTCACGGCGGCGGAAATGTGACTGAAGTTGATTTGCCAGGTCAGGACCAATAACATTACAGACCCTTCTTTGGATTTTGTCAAGAATATCGAGTTATTAGCAGGGGCACCAAACCAGATATGGCATCAGTATACAATGCACGGACGAATAGTAGATTTATAAATTGCCTGTACGTTAAGTAATTTGTTCCTATTCAACTGAATATACATTTTTGGGATACCCTGTACATATGAAGGGGTGGCGAAATATTCTTGGCCCAACCCACTTTTTAAAATCAATAATCTGATATCATTTAAATACTGACAGACTCTATGAAGGAGCAGAAGGAGATACTTCTCAAAATCTTCTGGAGCTGTATAACATAGATATCACACAGAGGGATAGCGGTCCACCAATGATGATGAGGTGGAAGAGGCAACTCGTACATGCCTGAGAAAGCAGACAAGATGTCTATTCGAGGCGGATTAACATGCCTTCATTTAGAAGTGAAATACCACTATTGATACTGCTGATTAATAAATTTGGAATTCAGACAATTTTCTTTCATTTTGATATGCTTGGCGCACTTTAATATTAAAATTTTGATCGACATGTTTCAGTTTACTGCGATTAAACTCAAATAAACGGATAAAAATGTGATTTGATTGTCTCCGTATGTATTTCAAGAACTAATATTTACTTCTCTGAAAATTAAAGAATGGTAGAAAAGAAGAACTGATAAAAAAAAGCAGTTCAAACATAGCTCCCTGCATGATTCATCATTTAAAATAAATAAAAAGTACTATTAAACTTAACCATTTTAATCGTTTCAAAAGCTTTAATAACCCCCAACTTACCTTTCTTTCATTGCAGATGAGTCTTTTTTTAATGATCATATAATATTCCTTGTTCCTTCCTTAACATGTACGTCACGCCCTGTATAAAAATATTTTTTATTGATTTCAAATTATATTATCTTTGTGAAATTTTCTGGATTTGATACCATGGCTCATAGCTTCTTATGAAGAAATTTTTCTGACATCACGATTTTTTCGGACGGTGGAGTAATAGATAGCGGCTCAAATTGAGGAATCGGAAACCTGAGTTAAAAATTCCTGTTGAATCCATTATATTCACTTGTAACCTTGGGAAATGTATGAATCCCCTCCCCCCAGTTATGGGTAAATAGCAGGACAGACCGGGTTCTGTAGCCTTAAATGGCAACTTGTCTACCACAGAAAGAAATGGCAACCTACTGCGGGAAAAAATCTGCCTCGTTAGTTATGTATACGTATACATGATCGCCTAAACATGTATCACGCATGGCACATAACTGACTGAGTCGTATGACTCCGTCGATATTTTCGGTGGCATATTGACGTAAATCATTCTGGCGCCCTGAGAGTTAATTATGTCACGACTCTGTCTGTCAACCAACACCCAGTCCTTCTGGGAATATCCTGGTTCAGAATAAAATCGACACCAGCCAGTTACATCTCTATAAAGGTCTAGTCAAAATGCCTTTGCAATGCCTATTTAAGGAATTGAAAATCTTACGAGACGGAGTCGAAAATTACTGCTTTCAGATCACGTTGGCACTCCCGACCTAAATCCCTGACCTTTCGGGAAAAGTGAACACTTTGGATTCAAACACGACTCATTAGCAGTGATTCCAGGGACCACAGCCGCAACCAGTTACTAAATCTCACGTCCTAAGAAACCAATGACCTAGCTCCAAGAGCTACACGGGAAAGCCTCATTCGAAGAGATGTATCATTTTTCTTATTATTCGATTTTCTATCTTTGTAACTTTTCGGGCATTTACCCTTTTCAAGTAAATGAAGAATACTCTGCATTTGCTTACGGGTGTTCAAGAACTTACCCGTTTTCATAACAAACTTTACATCCAGTTTGGTAACATCGTTTTCTTTAAAGTAATGTTTCTGCACCTCAATGTTAATTTATGTCGTATTATTTGTTAGATTGTAACGGAAAGAAAAGTTTTCTTTTTTACAATGTACATGGATATAATCTTTTTGCCTTATTTCATATCTTGTTACCGATCAAAAATTATATATTTTTGGCTTACATGATGTAAGCCCGGAATAATGAGCGATGAATTTTACAAAAACTTTTTATAATTATCGGCCTGTGTCTCCAGTGTTGTGTGTGACGTTCTTGTTATTATTCCTCATCACGGTTTTCTGTTCCAGGATTTAACTTAGTAATTTTTCTTTCTATTCCCTTTTTTCCCCAATACCTGTCTTACCTCAGATAAATAACAGAAAGACGGAAGAAAAATATATATCTGAGATGCTGTTTGGTTTTAGTGCGAGAAAGAAAGGAAGGAAGGAAGGAAGGAAGGAAGGAAGGAACGAACGAACGAACGAACGAACGAAGGAAGGAAGGAAGGAAGGAACAAACGAAGAAAAATGAAAGGAAAAAAGAAAGGAAAAAGAAAGAAAGAAAGAAAGAAAGAAAGAAAGGAACGAACGAACGAAGAAAAAAGAAAGGAAAAAGAAAGGAAAAAGAAAGAAAGAAAGGAAGGAAGGAAGGAAGGAAGGAAGGAAGGAACGAACGAACGAAGGAAGAAAGGAAGGAAGGACGGAAGGAACAAACGAAGAAAAATGAAAGGAAAAAGAAAGGAAGAAAGAAAGAAAGAAAGAAAGGAACGAACGAACGAAGAAAAAAGAAAGGAAAAAGAAAGAAAGAAAGGAAGGAAGGAAGGAAGGAAGGAAGGAAGGAAGGAAGGAAGGAAGAAACGAATGAAGAAAAAAGAAAGGAAAAAAGGAAGAAAGAAAGGAAGGAAGAAAAAACAAACAAAAAAAACGGGAAAAAGAAAGGAAGAAAGAAAGAAAGAAAGGAACGAACGAACGAAGAAAAAAGAAAGGAAAAAGAAAGGAAAATGAAAGAAAGGAAGGAAGGAAGGAAGGAAGGAACGAATGAAGAAAAAAGAAAGGAAAAAAGGAAGAAAGAAACGAAGGAAGAAAAAACAAACAAAAAAAACGGAAAAAAGAAAGGAAGAAAGGAAGAAAGAAAGAAAGGAAGAATGAACATAGAAGAAGCATTAACGCTCTCATGCGTTCAACTTCTGCTTCAGTGAAATGAAAAACCTTGTCAATTTATAATCTTTTTATTTGATCTCACTTCTTTAAGTAACGATCAGCAGTCATACTTCTCATTCTCAATGAAATATTTTGTTAACGTTAAAAAAATTAAACGATTCAGTAAAAGAATATCCACAAATATTTTATTGTGCATCGCGAAAAGAGTTTCTTCAATCATTAAATTAAGAATTACGATTCACCAGAAAATTCAAATAGGAAAACTATGAAGTTTTTGCGGGTATTACTAGTGAAATGTAACAAATCAATCATTAAAGAAAGATGAAGCTTTCTGTAACACAGTAAGTATAATTGCTATGACCCCCTATACCCTGTGTGCCGTTCATTTTTACCTTTCTGACATTGTCTAAATTCAAGTAAAAATCCTACCCTAATACACTTGTTTTTAGATATCTTCATACTACGGTTTATTTAGTCGACAGAAATGATTGAATCAGTTAAAAAATCTTTTCGTACCCTTTCTTCCCAGCCATCTTTTTAATGACATAAGGACGACTATGTGACCTATTTTGGCCTAAGAATATTTCCGTTTTAAACTTCCTGGTAAAACTGGCTTGACTGGTATTGTCAGTTCCATTTCAATTTACCGACTTCCCGATTTACTGTCGTCTGCTTCAGTTAAAGTTAGCTCCACTATATCAATATTTTCGATGCCTCTGTTTATATTTCTGAGATGAGGTATTGTAACTACACTATTTACATTGTTCGGACTTTTGTCCTAATCTTTATTGTCATATTCACGACGTTTCGTCCGTTGTACGCCCCCGCCTTCTTCTATGTCGGAATTTCTAACTGAACCCTTTATTTAGTCCACAGTTTAGATTGTTCTAATTTCACGTGCCATGCCATTTTGTTTTCAATATTTTTGCTAATCGCAAGCCACAAGTAATTCAAATATTAAAACTGCTGTTGGAGAAATTAGTTTTGGCTTGTTTGCATCTTCGTATCCAAGTTAGTTACGATATCTGAAATCAACAGCTGATTTCTTTAAATCTGCAATATACACATCTCGTCCTGGGTAAGACGATAAAGTACGTCCAACAGCATAGCCTCTGATCAGGAGGTTTTGAGGAGTGTGGAACCACCTCTTAATTGCTGATGTTCCCAGGTCCATCCTGACTCGGGGTAGTAGAACCTGTTAGGGTCCCAACTATGGGCAAATAGTTACCCCCGCTAAAAACATTATGAGAGTGTAAAAATAGGTTTTAATACCAGAAATACTTTGTAAAAAAAAAAAAATTATTACTAGCGTTACATTTTTGAAAAAAAAGAAGAAGATATTACCAGCTATACATTCGTGAAGAAAAAATATTACCAGAAATAAAAATTTTGTCGGCATTAAATAACCCATTGAGGTTGATATACCGTAAAACAAACCAAACCAAACAATATCCTCGTCCGTATTCTTTAATACTGATGTCAAATTGGATGGCCGCGTATGTAACGACAACAATTGAAGGAATAGAGACACCTACCCCCACCCCCCGGGCAACCGATGGAACTAGCTAGGATAACTCCCACTATAGCAAGTAACGAAAAGAGACGTCTTACGTAATACCGTGACGGCACCGGCCGTGGTTCTGGCTTAGAGACATCGAACGTGCACAAGAACCGTTGTTCCGATCCCTCTCGTGCTGGAGAGGGTTTGCCATGGCCACTATCGATGTAACACTCGTCGATCAGGTTTGTTTGGTTTATTTTGTTTTACGGCATATCAGCCTAATGCCGACAAGATTCTTTGGATAGGTTCGTATGAATAGAACATGTATTTCTTTGTAAGGAATTGGTTTGTAGATCAGGTTTCAATGACATATTTTGTCAAGAGGGTTTTGTCGAGAGTCAAATGTATTGCTGCTAACTTTTTTTTTTCAAAAATACATTGCTGGCATTTTTACTATAAAAATGTGTTTTATACTTTCATAGTGCTTTGTTGGGTAAACTATTTGCTCAAAGCTGAGATCCTAACAGGTGCTACCATCCCGGCTCAGGGTGGAGATGGGAACGACAGCAATTAAGAGGTGATTTCACGCTCCTTAGATCTCCTGATCAGAGGCCTTGCTACTGGATGTAGTTTATTGTCGATGAGTTAAAACTAACCTGTCTCACGGTGGTTTAAACCCAGCTCACATTTCCGACCCTTTCAACCCTCCATTAGTACCGCGAAGTTTTTGAACAGCCGACAAACTATTTTTACTTCGTATTTAGCAAGTTCAGGGTCAGAACGGGGCCTGTAGCCTATATCATAAAGTGGGTTATTTAAAGCCGAAGCATATTTTGGATTGTAAGAATAATTCTTTTTTTTTTGCTACTGAATACTATATGAACATTTGTTTAACAATGATTTTTTGATGCAAGTCACATTATTTAACCCATAACTGGGGGAGGATTTCCTAAAAGTATTTACATGTAAGTGAATGTAACGAAGCCGACAGAAATTCGAACTCGGCTCTCCGATTTCTTATTCTGAGCCGCTATCCGTGACACCATCCTCACATCCTGTTATGAAGGAACCGTAAATTAAAAAAAATACACATAAGTATTAAATTTGAAGCTTGAATAATTCATTACTAATTAATTAATTAATTATTAATTATTATTATTTACTTATTATTATTAATTATTTTTTATAATACAATGTGATGGAATAACCACATTATATTATGAAAACATTATAATTAATGTGGTTGTATAATAAAAACATTTATAATGATTTAATAATGTGGCTGTATAATAAAAACATTTATAATTAATAATTTTATATAAAAACATTTATAATTAATGTAGTTGTATAAACTTGAAAATTATCTCGGAAAGTTTACAAAAAATAAGTAAGAGCAATTTTCGTGTGGCCGGTGTCAGTCAGTATAAAATTAGGAATTACCTGTGAAGTTTTAATTGATAATAAGGGCTGAATTAAACAAGGAGAAAAATAATCACATTCTTAGGATATCAAGGGAAGGGGACATCACCGAAAATGTTATGATATGACGTAGTTGTAAACGTCTAAAAAATAAGTCGAACATGATTAACAATTTGGATCTGCCGGGTTCCATTAAGAACGATTATGACTAAGCATTGAGAATTTCCCTCGACAAACACCATCATCTTGGGTTGACTTTATCACCAAGACTCTGAAGTCGATACCCTGCAAAAACGTTGACAGATATTGTCTTGGTAGTTGACCTATGCAGACACCATTACCAATGCAACAGTCCTACATCAATATAGAAAAATGCTATCAATGATGTTGGACTTTATGTCAATGCCTCTAAAACTAAATTCATAGGTTTCAATCAGCAAGGTTCAATCTCAGATGAGTTAATAAAATCTGCTAAATTATTTACATACCTAGGAAGCGAGATAAATTATAATGAAAAGGATGTGAAAATTCGCATAGTTAATGCCTGGGCCGCCCTGAATAAAATAGATGTAATCTAGAAATCTGTTTTCAGCAGCCCTACTCCTGAAGAAGAGGTTCGGCCATCTCAACTCAGCGCGAGGCTGACTTGAGCTCGACCATCTTTACTCGTTCGTATCCCCATTTGCTATTAATTATTTCAGAGCCAAAAGGAAAAAGGACAGACCCAAGCGACATTTAAATTTGTTTCAATGCAGTCAACATAAAAGAATATAAACATCCAAACGTCTTTGCCTATACAGTGGGGGGGTAAACAAATATTCGTAGACATACAAATTTTTAATTTATTGTATTTCCAACTAATGAATAAAAGATACTTTTCATATAATTAACTGTACACTGATGCCCAATAACTAAATATGCATAGAAAACAGAAAAATGTTATTTGATAGAAATACATCCCATTTATCCATTTTAATGGGTGAAAAAAGTATTCGTACAAGGTAAATTTAAGATTTTAAAACTTTTTTACTCTCGATTGTTTCAGTGGAATATTCTAAAATCTTCCAATAATGTTAAAAGTAGTTATTTTAGCCTAAAAAATACAAACAGAACATTCTGTAATTCATATCCGTGCAAGAAGGTTATCATCATAGCAAGAAGTAAAGAATTGACAAATTTGCAAAAAGAACTGATTGTTAATCTCCAGAAAGAAGATAAAAATTACAGGAAAATCTCAGACGACCTGAATATTCCATTTACTACCATTAGTTCATTTTATGCAAGGTATAAAAATTTCAAAACTGCTGAAAACCAAAGAAGAACAGGTGCTCCACAGAAGATTTCTTCAAGATCTTAGAGGAAATTAATGTGTCAAATTAAATAAAATCCAATGGTTACTTGTCAAGAGTTGCAGGATGATTTGCTTTCATCAGGAATTTGTGTCACTAAACGGACAATATGCAATGGAATTCATAGGAAAAATCTAAAGTAACGTTTCCCTCGAAAATTCCACTACTATTAAAAAGACACAGAGATACCAGGTTGAAATTCTTTTGTGAACATAAGGATAAGGCAAAATTGTATTGGGAAAGTGTATTATGGACAGACAAAACCAAAATTAGAGGCAATTCTAGAAATCATGTATGGAGGAAAGACGGCGATTCCTTCAAACAAAAGAACACAGTTCCAACAGTGAAATTTGGTGGCAGCAGAATCATGGCTTGGGGTTGTTTTTCTGTAAAAGGTACTGACAACATATCAGTAATAGATAGTAGAATGAATGCCGCAGCATATCAAAATATTTTGGAAGCAAATTCAATGATTTCGGTTAAGAATCTTGAACTTCCTCCTAATTTGATCTTCTAACAAGATAATGCACAGTGCAAAATCTACGAAGAAATGGCTTGCTGAAAATAATGTAAATATCCTGAAATGGCCAAGTCAGTCCCCAGATTTAAACCCAATCTAGAATCTGTGGCGTTATTTGAAAATTCAAATCCAATCGAGAGCACAAACAAACATCCCGGATCTGAAGGCCATATACAAAAAAGAATGGAACAAAATACCAACTAAAATTTGCAAA